ATAGATTTATATAAATTATTTATAAATAAATTGTTATATTTTGTTTTATAAATAATACAATTGTTTATTCGTTCGTAGATTATTTTATTATTAAATTTTTTTATTACTATCACCATGATATTAATCAAAATATTTTTAATATTAAAAAAACAATATATTTGTAGATATTATTTTAAATATATATTAATTTATTATTATTTAATTTTTAAAAAAATTATTTTATTTATATATCAATATTATATATTCCTATATAAGTTTATATAAATTATTTATAAATAAATTGTTATATTTTGTTTTATAAATAATACGATTGTTTACTCGTTCGTAGATTATTTTATTTAATAAATATTTCAATTATTATCACCATGATATTAAATTCATATTTTTAATATAAAAAGAAAATTACTTTTTTTAATAATATGATTTTTTAAATATATTAAATTATTACACTAAAGAAAGAATTGAATTTCAATCAGAAATTGTATGTTTCTTTTCAGATATATTAAAAAAAAGGCATTGAAATTTAATTTGACGAAAGAAATTGAAGAAGAAAAAGAAATCAAAAAAGAAAGGAAATAGACGAATGTGTTGGAAAAATAAATTCATCGTCCTCTTGGTGAACGCTTTCGACAGGGTGGAACGATCGCTTTTTTAAAAAGAAAGAGTCACGTTCCGACTGTCTCCGAGAACGTCTCGGAAGAGAATGTCAAGGTACTTGTATGTAGTCTGCTTTGTAGTCGTTATGATCATTACCCTGAGAGACACGCCTACGCAACACCTGAATACCGATTTTCCTTTCGGCCTACGCATATCAAAACAAAGCTCTTAACTATATATATATATATATATATATATATTTCTTTTCTTGTATTCCCAATTTTATTTCACATTTCTTGCACAGTTTTCTTGTATCCTTTTTCTTTCTATAATCAAATTCATATTCATTCATTCATCAATTCAAAGACAAAATTGTAATCAACACAAATTTGAATTAAATAGAATTAAATTATTTTTTCTATAAATTCATTATTAAAAAAATTAAATTAAAAAAATATAAATAAATAAATAATAATTAATTTAATAAAAAAAATAATAATTTAATTATAAAATAAAAATAATAATAATAATAATTATTATTATTATTATATAATAGATCATTATATTTAATAACTTTTTATTTTTTATTTTTTTTATTTATTAATTTTTATTTATTTTGTTAATTTAATCTTATTTAATTATTCAAATTTGAACTAATAGAAATTTAAAGAGAACATTTTCAAACGAAGATTATTCTATTATTCTTGCTTGATCTTTGAAAAAAAAAAAAACCGATAGAAAATTGATTAAAAAATTCTGATTACTTGTTTCTAAATGTTTCACTTTTCTCAATTCCATTTTTGTATAATAAATTTGTATAAAAAATTCATACGACGAAAACTATGAAATAGAAATAAGAAGAAATAAAAGTAAAATCCTATGAAAATGTAAGAAGAAAAATGTAAGTGGTAAAAAATGAAAGTGAGAGTGATTATTTTGAAATATTCAACAAATAAATGGAGCATCATAATTTAGCAGAGAACGCGTGCATAGAAAGAACAATGAAAGGCCTCAGAGGGCCGGCCTGCATGCGATTCTCAAAAGCAGTTTTTGCAGTAGTGAGCAAGGAGGAGGATGAGGATCGTTCGCGGCCAATGACTCGGGACAAACAGTAGAAGCTTTATAGTGTCGACACACGTTGCTTTTAAACGAGATCTCATTGAGCGCTCAGTGAACTTTATAGGTATATGATCAGCGATCCATGTGAATGGAAAAAACCCTTTGGACCTCGATGGGTCCATCTCTGTTATATGTATGCATATGTTTACGTATACGTACATATGTATGTCATCTATGTAGAATCCTCGATATCGATAACGCTCGAACGCTTGCTTTTCGGTTCACCTCGATTCATCATATCAACGTGAAGCGTGAAAATAAAGTAAAGGAACAAAAAGAAGAAGAAAATAAGAAAAAGAAGAAAAAAAGAAGAATAAATAAATAAATAGATAAATAAAAGGGATGGGATAGAAATATTGATATTTATGTCACGTGGGTAGTTTAACGTAGGCTTTCTTAATAACATAATCGCTGTGTGTGTGTGTGTTTTTTTCTCTCTTTTTCTTTTTTATATAAATAAAATTTAAATATTACTTTACGCGACAACAAAAATTAATACATATTATTGGATTGGCAAGAAAATAATTTTGGCTTGCACCAATAAATAGCGTTATGTTTGTTTCGTTATTATTTTGTTAATGTTACCATTTTTTAGTTATTTTAATTGAAAGTTCATTTTTGAAGTGAATACTTCTTTAGAATGGGTGTGATTTGAAAAAATGTAACGGATCGGTAGGCGGCGATGTAACGATACTAAATAAGAATAGAATACAATTATCCTATACCAGATATTTTGTATTCATCTCATTCTTTCGAAACTTAGTTTTTTGAAGATTTTACTTCTAACACGTGTGATCTCCACACATGTTTTTGTATAAAAACAATTGAGTTTTATTTCACACTAGAAAATCAAAATTACTTTCTTGCCAATCCAATACATTTTTTTTTGTCGAAGATTTATTCAAAAAAAAAAAAAGAAATCTTTCGGACTTGCTGATTTTGTCTCGAAGACGTTATTACGAAATATCCGTCGATCCAAAGAATTATTTTTTCAAGGGGGCTTAAACTAATCTGTTTCCCAGGAGAAACGGATGTCTCAAATAAAGCGTGAATCGTAAGAGGCAGGACGAAATTACATCGAGTATAAAAAAGGCGTGGGCGGTGTTGATACACCTACTTACATTTTCCTATCGGTATTTTTAGTCCCATTGCAAGAATAAGAATCATCCTTCGAAAGCTCCTACACAATAAAACGAAATAAATGAAGGAAAAAAAAAAGATAATTTTCTATATCGGACGACTAATGTAAGACTACCAACTAATACGATAATCGAGTTAATTCTTCAAATTGTCCAGACAAATTATTGCATACCATTATATGCCTATTATCTCTAACGAATGCTTTCAAAAACGGATAATAAATCTACCATCTCTGGACAACAAAAAAAGAAGCATAAATAAAATAACTATACATAATGGTCGGATTAACCAAATAACGAAATTATTTATACGTAAACATTGATACAGAATCAAATTCAAAGAGAACAAAATATTTCATTATCTGCATTTATCTTTAAGAACCAAAATGAAATTCGACAAATTGTTTATCACTCCCATCTTAAATATTTTTTAAGGAAACAAACAATGCCCCCAAATTCAACGACGATAATATTTATATCGCAAAATAAAAAAAGGATAATTATTTACTCATCTCTTTTTCTTTTTATTTATTTTATTCAAACAACGAATTTATTACACATCGGGTATTCATTATCTTCGTAATAAAAATTCGACAATAAAAAAATCATCGAGGATTCTCCCAAAAAGGATATTTCGATGTCGCCTACGCAAACGAATGAATCTTCGAAAGCCAATAGGCGTCGAGGAATTTCACGCAAGTGCGTGCGCCCTTCCGAAAGCTCGCAAGCACCCCATAGAAGAAGGATGAATGGAACCTTCAAATCCAGTCAGTTCTACGCTCGTCCTACGAGTGGTGCAGTCGCGTCAGCTTCTAGCCTTTTTTACCGTGACACCAAAAAGTATATGTGTATATATATATATATATATATATACACACACACACACACCAAAATATATTTATATATATAAATATATACACACATTTGTATTATATGTACAAATTAATTTATATTTTTATCAAGAAAAAATTAATTCTCACTTATTTCCAACGTTGTCCTTTCGAATTTAAGCGAACTTACATTTGCAACGAAAACATGTTCGGTGGCTCAACGTCTAATTCACAATCGACGGTACGCCGAAAGCAGTTAACTGTCGCATTTCGGTATCGATCGAATGGAAATCAAACTTAGGATGACAACCACTGGCTTTCTCTCTACCTCTATCTATATATGTAAGAATATCACCCAGAGTTTTTAATCTTTTCTACATGAAAATGCACTAATATTGGCATCTACATTATGAAAGATGATCATCGTTGTTTCCTATTGATTTCATTTAAGAGACAAGAGATTATTAATTAATAATGTAAAGAATAAAAAAAGGAACAAATGGATAAAAAGAGGAAGAGCGAAATGAATTAATGATAAAACTAAGAAAAAAGAAGAAGAAGAATTTTATATGAATTATATAGATTCTTATAAGATACGCTTAAAATAGAAGAAGAAGAAGAAGAAGACAAAAATATTTTTTGATAAATTTTTTAAAACGTTTTAACTGTCTCCAACTCGTTTACGTATACGCATGATCATTTGATAATAATATTAATATTAATAATGATGATAATGATGATGATGATGATGATGATGATGATGACGATAACGATGATGATGATGATAAAAGTATGTATACGAACGAACAGGCAATAGCTGCATTACTATTTATAGTAAATTATATGTATATACATACATATTGTACATATATGATGTACATATACGTACTACTTACATATGTACGATACAATAGAAACGGAGATATCACGAGAGTCAGATTCAGTTCTGTCGGGTAGTTTATTGATTTTTTTTACCTACTCCGACAATGATAGTCGGTTAGCATTGTTGCGTTGTGGATAACAACCAGAGAGCAATGAATATATCAAATAGAGCATATGCAACAACAATGCTGCTCTCTTCCCACATATTTTATTATATAAATAATGAATAATACTTATAATACCAATAATAATAATAATAATAATAATAATAATAATAATAATAATAATAGTATTAATTTGTTACGAACGAACGAGTGGAAATAATATATTCAATGTGTATTTATAATTTTTTATATTATAATATATAATATAAATATTCGCTTTTGCACTATTCGATAAAATCAATAATAATTAAAAAAAAAAAGGGATAACTTGCAATTCGAAGAATTGGAATGAAATACGAGTAAATAAAATACGAATTAGATTCGATTAAATTCGAATTGAAAGAATTGATCGTAAGAGCGGAAAAGGAGTAATTTTGGTATACATGCAAGGGCAACGTAAATTATAAATATCGCCAGTTGAGACTGGTGCACAGGAAACACGGAGATAAATGAGCATAGACTGGAAAAAGAGCGGATTCGACAGAGCGAATATATTGGATTCCGGACACATGGCACAGGGACGAATGAATAGCATCCGGTTTTCTGAATCACCGAGATATTCTTGAGGAATACGTAAGGCAGAAGTTTTGAATTTTCATAAATCGTGGAAACTGAAGTGATTTTTCAGATCGAGATCAAATAATTGTGACGTGATTTTTTATTCTACGAAATTTTAAATGGACAAGTTTAATTTTTCGATTTTATTAAAAGATAAAGAGGAGAAGAAAATAAATGAATGAAAAGAACAAAGAAGAAAAAGAAACAAGGAAGAAATATTATTAAGAAGAAAGAACAATAAACTTTCGAATTTTGGATTAGGAAGAAATACGAGCAAGGAAGACAAATAAACTTTCGAATTTTGGATTAGGAAGAAATACGAGCACTGTTCTAAATTTGAATCACTATGAGACAATGCGTGGACGCTATTTTCTTACACGGTAACTAAATCTTATGTTAAATCGTATAGTTGAGTCATCTTCGATATAGGAAAGGTATCCCTATAATTTGAACATTCTTTGTTCTCCATAGAAAGTTGACGTCATATAAAATATTATATAGAAAAATGATTACTCATTAATTACTCATTATTTTCTTATTTCTCAACCTCGCGTGTAAGTAAATAATGAGTATATACATACATAAATACATACATAGTACAGAATGCATGACGAATTGCGTCTCGTAAGAGAAAGAGAAAATAAAAGAAAAAAGACAAAAGAACGAGTAACGGCAAAAGATCGACCTTGAAAGTCCACCTTCTTCAGTGGACGATCGCACGAACCCGCTCCGGAAAGGTGCATTACTATCGTTTATTCGCACGTGCTTGACGTTCATTCACATCGTCCCCTCCCGCCAAATTCTCGATACTTGTAGTAAACTCGTGTCGTGATTGGTCGGCATTAACGCCACGCGTTTGTCATGATTGGTCATGGCACGTTACCTCGTCGTTAAGTGAGCCGAGCGTACGAATAGAGCCGAAAGAAACCGAGACGAGTCGAAGCGCAGGTCAGGACTCATTTGATCGCGTCCTCGCGACAGTTCGAAAACGGAGCTTGCGCAGGAAGGTTTAAGATAGATTGTTTTCATATTTTTAACATGGCGATTTTGACGTACAATCAACCGCTAGTTTTAAATCACAAAGTGCACTTAAGTGTCAACCAAACGTTGCTCATCGTCCTAGCTTATGTAATTTTGATTCAAGGTATTTACAGTGTTTTCAATCATTTCTATCTTGGTTTTTTTTTCTTCATTATTTTATCATTTACTTCCTTCCGTACTTACACATGACAACATTATGTACCTAACGGCAAACAGGATGTACTTTGTTTGTGAGGGTTTCCTATTTGTGTGAATATATGTGTTGTGTATATTTTCTCACGTGAAAGGCGCCCATGTATCAACGCGAATGAGGATGCGCGTGTTATACACCTCTCTTTCTCTCTCTTTTAATCTTTCTTTCTCTTTCTTTCTCTTTCTTTCTCTTTCTTTCTCTTTCCCTTTCCCTTCTCTCTCTTTGACCGAGTTTGTATTTGTGACTGAATGATGCTCTTCATCCACTTGTCACATGCAGTACTTTCATTGGCGTAGACTGCATCTACTCATTACCGTGTTACTATACTGAACTCTCCTTTCCCCACTCTCTTTCTTTAAAATCTTTCTAATACTTCGTTCATAAACATTTAACTCTCTTGTGATATTTACATCCTGTTTACGAACAGAACTATTTTATATTAGTCATTGCTATTTAGTATTTTTATTCTTTCTTATCTGATTTCTTTCTACTGTTATTTTATATACAGACTACTGCTCGTTAAATAATATTTTTGAAGATACCATGATTGTGTCAATATTTATATCTTCATTTGTGTAAGAAAATAGATCAAAAAATGTATATATTTCAAAAAATCAAGCTATCATTATAATATTATATTGGATGTTTTCTTCTGTCCATAATACATATTCAATGTTATCATTTTCATAGAACTTTTATATTAGTTTTGAAATACTAAAATAATGAGAATCTTTAATTGTACAAAATATTGTTTTATAGAATTATAAAACCCTTATTTTTATACCATGAAAAGTATCTTAAATTTAATTTGGTATGTTATTGCTGTTGTTGTAGGAGGTACAGGATTATCGTTGAATCATCAATATGTAAATGATGCAGATCAATATGACTCTTCGATCAATGATGATAATACAAAGCATTTGGAGAAATTCTACTTAATTACAGAACGAAGGTGGCACACAGATACCGTGCTACCAATTTCTTTACTGCGGTCTACCGAGGGAATGTCTGCTCGATCTCATCATAGGTATATGACAAATACCTTCACTATATTAACTGAATGATGTTAGAACAATACATAAAATTTGTTTTTAATGGTATAGGATCCGGCAGTCCACTACGGGACTGGATGATTCTGGTATGGACTTGCAAGCAGCTCAATTCAGTACCCGTATAGGTCAGGAGGTTCGCTCTAGTACAACTCTATCATGGCTAGATTGGCAGTTGCTTCTTTTTATAGCACTTTGTGCCATTGCTGGTGTTATTTTGTTTACATTTTTGGTAAGACATTATTATTTAACTCCATGACTTCCATGTCGAAATCATATGTTTTGCCTAGGACACTATGGTATTACTTTTATTATCCAAAGAATATAATAGCAAAATAATAGTAAATTGATGTTAATCAAACATTGTAATTGTTCAATAAGGTACTTTTTATTTTAAAGTATCTTCTATATTATATTCAAATACACTAACTTTCAATTTTCATGTAGTTTTTCACAATTGTAAAAGGTTCATGTGCTCCAGTCATATATGACCGACATGGTAGTCAAAGTGTTAAAGCATTCTAATATTTACATTTATATTTTTCTTTTGATTGATCTTTACATTAGAAAATCAATATTAATAGAAATATTTATTGAAATAGATCTTGTTATGGCTACGGAAACAAATGTCGCGTGAAAAAGATACTGAAGATGGTGACAGGAGAGGTCTAGTAGAAGAAGGATTGGTTGGCCGAACAGATAAAACTGACAAAAGTACTAAAAGTTCAGTGGAAGCGCAATGGGTTCCTCAATCGGTAGCCAAACCATCGGAATCTACTCAAAAAGCAAAACCTTCTACAACAGTTGCTTCTGGTTTACCAGAAATAATGACTGTGACCACGCCAGAACGAAAAATAGAACCAATTCGCGTGAAACCTAAAGGATTATTAGAACGGCGTAGTTCGAGTGCAAGTTTAACCATAGAACTAGCACCAGCACCGACACCCGAAAATCCACCACACATGGTCACTCCAACTCGCGAATGTACGACTGAAGAATTTTTATTGAGCGCTGGAAATGTCTTATCCAGAGCACAATTGAAAAAAACATTGAACGATCCAGCATCGTTACAGAAAGAATTTTGGGAAGTACCGTTGAACCACCCCAAAAAAGTTGATATATGTGGAGCTGGTGTAAAAAATAGATATTGCACTGTATTACCTAATCCGCAATCTCGAGTGATTTTACCGGGTTCTTCTGACGATCCACTTTCTAGTTACATAAACGCCAATTATATCAGGGTAAGTAAACGATACAATATTCTACGCTCGTTTCAAAAGGTCGTGTTTCATCATAAAATGACACGTATGATGTAATTCGTATAACATTTTCTAATTAATAGGGATACGATGGAGAAGATGCACGCTATATCGCAACCCAAGGACCATTATCTCATACGATAGAAGATTTCTGGCAAATGATTTGGGCAGAAAAAGTTCCCGTAATTGTCATGATGACAAGATTACACGAAGCTGCCAAAACAAAATGTGATATCTACTTTCCTGTAGATAAAAATAATCGTTTACAAGCTGGTCCTTTCACGATTATAGTTAACTCTATAACCAACAAAGATGGTTATACTGTTAGAGATTTGGAAATTAGATACGAAAGGGAAAGACGCCATGTACAGCATTACTGGTAATTTATATTAGTCTAAGTTAAAATGAAACGTAATATATTGTATGTTATCAAGAAAATATATATTATATAAAAACTAATTGGATTTTGATAGGTATGATTCATGGCCAGATCATGCTGTACCTCAAGCAGCAGATGCGCTTGTTAATTTAGCTGCAGAAATAAATGCTCTATCTGGACCTGTAGTGGTACACTGTAGCGCAGGTATTGGACGCACTGGATGTTTTATAGCACTAGCAATAGGAATGACACAACTCTTAAGAAATGATAACGTAGATGTACTAGGTATTCTATGTCAAATGAGGTGAGTCTTCTTAAAATTTCATTATTCGCTTAAGCGATATATGCGAATCTTTACATGCAATTTATTTATCAAAACCTTGACACATAATATCATAATTTGTATTCAAGGTATGACAGAGGAGGTATGATTCAAACTGCTGAACAATACGAATTTGTTCATCGAGCACTTTGTCTATTTGAAAAAACTCTCGATGGCAGATTATCTAAATCAAGAGAATAATGTTGCTACGAATAATAATTATTTTAGAAGCAATTACTGTTGCCTACAACACAATCCACTTTCGTCCAGATATTCCATTAAAACAAAAGATACTTTTAAATGAATCTCTGTGTCAGCATTGGAGGTAAGAAAAGGAGGTCTTTACTATTTCAATACTTTAATGAAATTCGCCTCATCTAATTATGCTGCCATTCTATACTGCCATGACAAATGATATATGAGTCGCGTAAAAATTTTCTCAAAGAATTATCATTTTAATCACTTATCCCAAAGCAAAAAAAAAAGAGAGAAAGAAAAAGAGAAAAGCAATTGCATGCAACATTATAAAAAGTCAAAGTAAAAAGCCATTTTAATGAATAAGCACTAAATGTGTGGAACATATATGTACAAAAACAAACAAAAAACAATCGACTAACTTTACATCAAGACCCTTTTGTTGTAACAATTTGAATATTATTATATTATATCAGAATCGTAATTAATGTTCAAAATTAGCAAAAATTTAACATATTTATTTATTTTTCTTTCCATTTTTGTGAGATTGTTGCATTTTTGTTAATTTACATTTATGAACATTCCTTACGTGGCACAAAATATAAATTTTTGTAGCTTTGACGAAAAAATAAGCAAAAACTAGAAAAGAAAAGAAACATGAAGTAATAGATAATTGTCAAATACTTCACCCAATAATCTCAAATACAAAGTAATCCTTTTTTAGCTCTTCGATGCTACCAAATATTTAAAAAAAAAAACGAATAACTGAACTACCCTGTTATGCAACTTTCAGGGATTAATTATAATTATTTCATTGGACTGTGAATGATTGAAATTTGAATGATAGAAAATGAATGATACGAAGAATTTGGGACCCATGTCATATTATATATATATATATATATATATATATATATATATATATATATTTATTTATATATATGTATAAACGCTCTTATCCTATTTGTAGTTCCTAGTTGATTTTGGAGTTTGATATTTAACATGGATTATGATTTACATGACTTTTATTTTAACTTACAAGCAAAGACTGAATGCAAAGAGTACAATATGACTATTAGTTCAATACGTAGTTAAAAACAATTTTTGAAAACTTCACTAATCAAATTTTCAAGGTTAATAATATTATACAAGCTCTTCTCAATAGTTTATTAAATAATATTATTTTAAAATATTTTAGGTGAACATTACTTTTTATTGTTTTTTATTTTTTTTTTTTTTAATTTTTATAATATAAAAAAGAAACTTTTCATTATACAAACAAAAGGGAAAAAAAAGCAAATATTGAAACTCTTAACTATTATATTTACTAATATGTGTAAATAGATTGAATTATTTATTCCGTTTGTTGCTTCACATGCCAATCAATATTGAGTAATAATAATAATAGTAATAATAATAATAATAATGATGATAATAGTAATAATAATAATAATAATAATAATAATGGATGAATGTGGGTGTAACTTTCTATGGCAATTAATGTGAAAATATTGGGCATATGAGTGTCTTCTTTGAGTACAATTAACTCTTGTTTATTGTAACAAGGATTAAAATATTTAGCTGACAATAAATGTGATTTATGTTAGCCTATTTTTTGATGGCATACGAATTGCAATAAACGGTTATATTAAACTTTTATTTCTAAAGATCTTTCAATAAGCGTGTACATTATTTTGCATTGTTAGTATATTATATATACGGTATATATATACACGCATTAAATTGATTGTAAAATGAATATGTATATTTAAAACATATAAATAATGGTCGCATTAAGTTTTAGATTATATCAAATACATTCTTTTGTATGTAGATTATTTTTAAATCAATATGTACATATTTATCTTCTCAACAAATTATTGTATATTTATTTCTTATTGAATGAAAATTCTCTACTAAATTTATATATATTTAATAATATATTAATATATTATTTATATGTATATATAAATATATATTTATCTAATCATCACAAATGAAAATTCCAACATTCTAATGTGTTCAATAGTATATTTAAATTGAAACATTTTTCCAAATGCGCATACTTTTTTTTTTTTTTTAATTCTCATTCGTTCTATGGAGAACAAAAGAATTTAATATAATAATCAAAAAAACCTTCCACATATTTACCTCATCGACATGTTACAGTATTTGCTTTAATTTACTCTTCCAGAATTATTCATAATTATTATTCCTTAAAGTTTGTAATTGTAAGATAGAAAGAAAGAAGTTTGAATGTATGAAAAGAGAGAGAGAGAGAGAGAGAGATATTGTGATTATATACATATATATATATATATATATATACATACATATATATATATATATTGTATATACATTTGTACAGAGAGCAAAAAATATATTTAAGAGAGTATGTATTTGTTTAAGCAAAACACGAAAGTGTATATATATATATATATTAATGTCTGTGCAAAGTCGCATATGACTAACTAATTGTATCAAGAATATAAACAATAATTATCATTTAGCAACCCCTTGGTGTTCAATTGTACTTATGTGACGTAATAAATGTTTATAGTATCCACGCACTTATGTTTTAAGTATTAATCACATTAATACCTATTTTATCTGTAAATATAAAATATTCGTTTTAACCTTCGCTTACCACACTTGGTCCAAAGGACCCAAACCTTTTTTGCAACTTGAGTCATTTTTCTCAATTGTTCAATTTTGGTAATTTTTTCAACATATTTAAATTTAATTTAAAGCTATAAAACCTATATAGTCTTTTTAAGTAAGTATTAAAGAAGTTTTAAAAAAATGTTGAAGTAAATCTATGCAATAGTTTCTTTTTTATAACGATTTTTCTCGGTGTGGTAAGCGTGTTGCTTCAGGAAGGGTGGTAAGCAAAGGTTAAAAGAGTGGAGAGATAAATACAATATTAATAAATGTACTAATTATGCATTTATATCACAGTCATATAAAATTTAAGAAAAATCGTCTCAATAAATATAAATTTTTTTTAAATGAAATTAGGAAGCAGTCAAAATGACTCTTCCTTAGACAATCTAGTATGAAATAAACATCTATGCATGGTTTTAAAGCGTTGTATTTTGATTAAATCAACACTATTTTTGATAAAATTTTCTAAAGTGAATTTATTTACAAATCGAAAGTATAAAATTCGTGATCCATCCTAAAGGAAGTCAGAATGAAAAAACATAAATTTACGTGACCCACTTTATCTGTTAGGTCATTAAGTATGAACCGTCCAATTACTTTTAATTTGAAATCAGACATACCATATTTAACACTTTGTTGACCGTTCCCGAGTTAACTCGTGTTTCTGTGGCCTAACGTTGCTGACCGGTCACGAGTTAACTCGTGATGCGTTATTTTTCGCATCACGCTATTTAATAGGAAAACGCAGCGAAAATAAATATTACAATAGTAACAGATTTTGTTCTACTATTGTTATACTGTTTATCATACGAAGAAGAAATATTTAAAGTCTAATAATAAGTAAAATTTATTAAAAATTACTTATATTGTTTTACTTTACAATTCAATTACGAAGTAATAGCCGGTGACGTGAGATAAATTCTTGAAAAAAATAGCCGGTCAACAAAGTGTTAAAATGAATTTTAAATTATTTCGATAAAAAAAAAAAACCTTGGAGATTAGCTAATTTCCGATAGTAAAACACAGTATACCTTTGTAGTTTAACTAGTGAAAATCATCGTTCTTATAATAACTACTTACATGTTTGTATACGAACTTATTATAACGCAAATTGTTTCAAATCTTTCATATTTATTAGTTACACATTAATCTCAAATATATAAATTTAAACGACGCTTTAATTCCCGGGAAAGCTAACAGCCAATCAAATTTTATCCGCCATGTTAAATTTGTCATAAGCGCGAAAATTAAAACAATTATTTTTAAATATTCTTTCTCCTCAGTTTTTGAAGTAATAATTAATATTAAATATTACCAAAATATAGTAATAATATTTTTAACACATTTCATTATTAAATTCAAATCCTCTCGATTTGCGTTTATTTTTGAACTCATTTAACCAAATAGGAGACTTGTATTACATTATCTAACAAGGAAAAAATTGTACATTATTTACAAGATATTATTAATCTTTTGACACGAATAAGTGCAAATAAAGGGTTATAAAAAAAGAAATCTGAAAGATAATTCGTAATCTTTGATCCCGATTTATAATTGTATTTAATTAGATTATATAAACATGAAAGAACAAAGAGTGTTTTATAAAAAGATAAAATTATTAAAATACGACGACAAAAATAAGTTAACAATAATTATTAAAATTATTTTGAAATGTTCAATAAGTCTAAAAAGTGACGCGGAACATCTGTGCTATAAATACCCATTAGACATAATTTATTTTTAAATATTATACACGATATATACACGCTCATAAACAGAGTTGTATCATTAAAATATAAAAATAGATTAATCATTATAATTATTATTATATAATATTATAATAATGTTTGAATTACAATCGTGTTTTGAATTATTTAAATTATTATTATTATTATTATTATTATTATAAATTATTTTTGATTATTGAAATGATAATGAAATATGATTAAAAAAAAATTACCATTGTATATCGTTCTAAGAAATACACACACACACACACCCATAATCAATGATATATCATAAAGAGAAACACTTTTGAGTAGTAGTTTAAAACCACGAGGTAACTCGTGACCGAGCTAACGTTGGATTAGACGGATTAAATACACGTGGCCCTTACTATCAAAATAAATCATACAATAAATGTTTACAGCAGTGAAAATATTGTTTAATGATAAATCATTGATAGCTGGAAAATATAATTTCAAGAACTTAACCAAGAATCTTTGAGAGACATGCGATCAGTTCTATCAAATTTGTCAACTTTCAAAGATAGCAAATATTTTTGTACAATTATTGTTATAGATTCGAGTCACATGACGAGAATATTGTTTAAAAATAAAAATACTAATAAAAGTTTGTATTCATTTTTGTAATTAGAATAATTATATTTTATTTGTGTGTAAGAAGAACAATAATATGGAGAAACAGGATGATGTTTTGTTGCAATTACGAGTGGAAAGACCACTTTATGAACAAGAAGCTTTAAATTTGGATTATCATTATGAACGACCAAGAACATCTTGTAAGTTTATGTTTAAACAAATTGATTGTTATATTTATAATATAACATGTAATAATCTTAATCTACTAATTTGTTTTTAATTATTAACTTTTAATGTTAATGATATAATAATTTGGTTATTTGCAGTCACTCAATATGTGAAGGAATTTGTTAAATCTAAAAATTTGAAATCATGCGTGAGCTCAGCAATACCAGCTGTAAAATGGCTCAAACGTTACAGATGGACAGAAGATTTGGTTTATGATATTATTGCAGGATTAACTGTAGCTATTATGCATATTCCTCAAGGAATGGCCTATGCACTTTTGGGAAATGTACCACCTGTTGTTGGAATATATATGGCGTTTTTTCCAGTTTTAATATATTTCTTTTTTGGTACTTCCAAGCATGTATCAATGGGTAAATAACTAGTAAATTATAGATTATATATACAGAATGTAACAGAACATGTGGGATATACTTTGGGAGTTGATTGTACATTTTAAAATAATTTCAAAAATTCATGTGTGTGTGCGAACACATATACTCTATCTTCAAGTCAACTTTTCATAGACCATTCTATGGTTTATCATTTTTATTTTGTATCTATTAGATAATCACTGTATTTTCTCTCTTACAGTGAAAACTTGTATAGTATCATTATGTAGTTTTTCATTTATTATACATCATAGTGTGCATCAATTATTATATGTAGTATGATTGGCGGCATGATTTCCATTTTATCATTTCTTACATATTCCGTTACAACTTGTATACTACAAATATTATATTTTTAGTAATCATTAAATGCATTTATATATAGGAACATTTGCTGTTGTCTGTCTTATGACTGGTAAAGCTGTAACATCATACTCATTACCATTAAACGATCATAATGGAAACTCAAGTCATACAGCTTTTACACAAATAGACAAAGAATATTATTCATTTACGCCAATCCAAGTTGCAACAGCGGTTACATTATTAGTTGGAATATTTCAAGTAAGTTTATTTAAATCATCCTATCTTTTTTTTTTCCTATATAATTTTATTTGTGTGTATATATAATTAAACAAAGAAATTTTTCTAGATCATAATGTATATATTTCGATTAGGAGTTATAAGCACGTTACTTAGCGAAACATTAGTCAATAGCTTTACTACAGGTGCTGCGGTCCATGTTTTCTTATCACAGATCAAAGATCTGTTGGGATTAAAACTTCCAAAACAGAAAGGATACTTCAAACTTATTCAAGTATGTATAATTAAAAATTCAAATATTTTCCCTAATATTTGTAATATTATTTGAATTATTTCAGACTGTTATTAATATAGCCAAAGAAATATCTAATATAAATGTTGCTTCTGCGATTGTATCAACAATTGCAATTATTATCATGGTCTTCAATAATGAATTTATTAAAGTAAGCTTATTTTATTATTTTTTTATATTCAAATATTTTATATAAAAATAAATACACACACACACACACACATATATATATATATATATATTTTAATTCTTTTATCTTAGCCATGGGCCGGAAAAAAATGTGGTGTTCCCATACCCATAGAACTAATTGCCGTTGTTACCGGTACTTTGGTATCTAAATATGGCAACTTAACTGAAACATATAACATCCAAAACGTGGGGGACATTCCTACGGGGTACGTATATCTTTTCTAATCGTTAGAATTAAGTTTTGCAATGATTAAATTGTATTTAGTTTTAAGGTGCTTTAAATCAGATTACCACCAGCTGAATTACCAACGTTAGAATTACTGCCTTTAGTCGCAGTAGATAGTGTTGCGATAACTATGGTCTCTTATACGATTACCATGTCTATGGCTTTAATATTTGCTCAGAAGCTTAATTACAAAGTTGACTCTAATCAAGAATTATTTGCTATGGTAAAACAAAATTTCATTTAATAAATAACTTCTTTTATCTTCTTTATACTTATAAAACTAATATTTATATGAATTATTTTTAATTGTAGGGAATTAGCAATATAGTTGGATCGTTTTTTTCATGTATGCCATTCTCAGCATCCTTAAGCAGATCTCTTATTCAACAAACAGTAGGTGGTCGCTCTCAGATTGCTAGTATTGTTTCGTGTTGCATATTATTGACCATTCTTTTATGGATAGGTCCTTTCTTTGAACCACTTCCAAGATGTGTTCTAGCTTCGATTATAGTAGTAAGTAAAATATAATGGAAAAATGATAAAATAATGTAAATATCAAAATAAATATAATATAATATTGAATAATCTTTTTAGGTAGCTTTAAAAGGAATGCTTCTACAAGCTACGCAATTAATTAAATTTTGGAAATTAAGTAAAACTGATGCTGTCATTTGGATTGTGACATTTCTTATTGTGATATTAGTTAATATCGATATTGGATTATTAGCAGGACTATTAGTTTCACTTGCAAGTGTATTATTACAAAGTATTAGACCGTATACGTGTTTATTAGGTCACATACCAAATTCAGATTTATATTTAGATCTTAATAGATACAAAGCGGTAAGATTTCAAAACTTTTTAAGTTGCATATAAATAATTTCATGTAATATTAAATTACTAATTTTGTTTATATTGTGTTTACAGGCTAAGGAAATAGAAGGAATTAAAATATTTCATTACAGCGGATGTTTAAATTTCGTCAATAGCGCTCATTTCAAATCTGAAGTCCATAAACTGATTGGTATTAATCCGCAGAAAGTTATTAGACAAAGAATGAAACTTAGACAAAAGGGGATTCATTTAGATGAACAAGATTTTGAACATAAGGATGGGTTACGTTGTATTATTATGAACATGAGTGCTATAAGTTATATAGATCCGACAGGTGTTAACGCGATACACGCAATAGCTTCAGAATTTGCTGAAATCCAAATTAATTTTTATCTAGCCAATTGTTCCAGTCCAATATTTGAGATGATCAAAAAATGCGAAATGTATATATACAAAGAATTGTCGTTTAAAATTTTTGCAACTATAGAAGATGCTGTATCTTATGTTCGATCCACTATCTTATCAAGATGACCGTATCTCGCATTTTACTTAATAAGGCATAAACAATATTAATATATATTGTTTATTAATAAGTAATTTTATTCAAATGAAATGTGTAATTTAAGTAAAAATATTATTTTTGTATTTTACTCTTTAACTACACTTTCATAATATAATGAGATTTTTAATCATATACACATGTTAATAGAAAACAAATCAATTTAAATTTTTAGTACTAAGTATATCGTGTTGTACTTAGATATTTTTTATCATCTGGCATGAGAATGACAAATGTACATTCATACTTAAAAGAAAACTCCTTAGCTATAATAAGTGCTTAGATCTTATTATCTACAAAATATACGTGACGATTATGTACAATAAAATTGCACAAATATATTTTTGAAATTATGTAAAAATATTATTATTTCTGTGAATAGTATAGCTTAAAAATAATTATTACAAATAAAAAAAAAAAGAGGATCTTTATCTGATGACAATAAAAATATTTAATTTAAAAACATAAATAAATATTTTACGAAATGTCCTGTAAACCGTGTAGTACAAACAAGCAAAGGATAATTTATACATGAAAAATTAAGTCGAAAAGCATAAAATAAAATTTGTACACAAAAGTAAAAATAATATGGAGGAATGAAAATATAAAAGATGAGAAAAAAACCATTTAATCGAGTAATCATTTTGTTTATTTTTACAATGATCACTCATATATACAGTAACAGTATACAGTTACAATGTGTAACAATAGCTGTCACGAGTCCGTCTCACGAAAGCGCTAGTTTTTTTTTCTTTTAATTCTGTTTTCATCGTGGAATTATAGAACTAAGAATATTATTAATTTTATTCTCACTTCTAATATAGTCTGGCAGTGTTGCCTTCACTGATGAAAGTTTAACTTACTGATGAATAAATACACAAGAAAATAAACTGTCATTGGACATTGTTCAACAATGTTATTACGTATGAAATTAGTTGAATTTTCCTATAATTTTATCCTCTAACTGCGATCTTGTTGATGATCCAATTAAAAAATTTGACCATTAGTGGTATTTAAGCAACACCATATTTCTTCTTAAGAGATTCTGGCATTTCCGGTGGTGGTGGACGTGGCATGCGAAGCCAAACTTTAACTGCATCGTAAATGAACCACTGAGCTGCCGTTAAAGTACCAATCATAATGATCCTAGGTCCCAGTCCTTTCCACACACCGGCAAAACCAAGTTTTCTCAATACGTCACCAGCTGTAGCACCTTTTTCTTGATTAAGTTTGGATACAACCTTAAGAGAAATTAAATATAAATATTAGTAGATATAATTATTATTCTGTAATTACTATAACCTTATAATTTGATATACTTACAGAATCAGCAGGATGAGAAACAACAGCACAGAATACACCAGCAATATAACCAGCAGCGAAGGTAACTACTAACTGTTCTCCTTTGGTACATTCTAACCTTGGTTTAGGTACTACATACTTGTACAATAATTCAAGCGTACGCTCAAAGCATGCGAATTTCATCATAGTATATGGGATTTGACGTAACCATAAAGGTACCAGACCTTTGTAAAAACCGCCAAGGCCTTCATCTGCATACATCTTTGGGAATGCCTCTCGTAAGGTATTTGCGAAGCCTGGCATGGTCTGAATTCTGACCTATATAAATGAAATATTTTATTATGCTTATTATTATTATTATTAATTTGAATATATTTCAAAAATATAATTAACTAAGAAGAAAGAATGAAAATATAAGAAACTTACAAAATAAATGACAAGGATACGACAACACAAGGACGAAGTGTAGTATGGACTGAGCGAAGGTGTAAAATTGAGAGGGTTAATGGGATATTAAATTAAAGATTTAAATATGTGCATATAAGTCAGTAAATCTTTGACTCCATTGACCTTATTATAAAATTATTATATAATAAAAAAAAAATAAGAAATTACCTTTGCAGCTTCAAGCGGAGCTAAACCAATGTCAGCAAAGAATTCTGCAGATGCGGAAGAAACAAGGTACAAGCTAGTTCTGTATTCATAAGACATTTCTTCTCCAGCAAGAGCAGAATAATAAACTTTAAAAACTTCATAAAGTCCAAATTTGAACATTCCTTGAATAGAATATCCAAAGAATGTAGGTGCCCATCCTCTAACTAAACCTCTAGTTCCATCTTCAGCTAGAGTTACCTATTCAAAAATAACATATTTAAATATATATTATTTTTTTGGTCTGCAATAGATTAATTTTTCATAAATGAGAATATATATAAATATATACTGAAATAAAAATTTGATTCACGTACACGGAAACCATTGAAAACTGATTTATATTTAGCAGGGTCTACTTGAATACGACATTTAACTAAATCCAATGGAGTAACCATGGTATGAGTTATACCACAAGACAAAATGCCTCCAAGTCCGCATAGTGCAAAATATTTGTTAGAACCAAATTCGCAACTATCTGTAAAGAGAATTCAAATATCAAAATGATTATAATATCTCTTTCATATAACCCACGTGAATGAGTTGAAACGTTGACATTAAAATGCCTGACAATAGAAAAAGCCTGATATTGAAATAATTTCAGATTAATCAAACTTAATTTTTTTATTTTTTTTTTATATAAGTTCAAAATTCTTTTTGTTTAGATTCAAAAATGTTTAGCCCACCCTCATATTCGAATTCATTGAGAGTTAAAAACAAAAAGAAAGAAAACGAGTGAATCGAATTGACGATATCGATCAGCTGACAAACTCGTGCATTTGGAATTTAAATTTGGCAAGATTTCAAGATCCGTTTTTAACGGATCTGCTACCTTGCCCTATTCTAATAATAAACCATTCTAGTAAAAAGAAAAGCGTTAGATTGGTTACTCGGTCGCGGTCATCATTCAAAGGCAATGTTAATCATTATTTTAGTTCGAGTATCATTTAAAAATTCCGAAACTAAGATCGGCACGCATATTCGACAAAATGGCCGCTCCTTATGCAACCCCACATTACTCCGATATGATAAGTGGAATACATGCTAATGACAATTTTTCTTATGTTTTAATTCGTATTAATTATTTCTAAACAATTGTTTATCTTAATTATTGATACATTATTTGCAAAAAATTCATTGTATTGAATATATTTATAGATTTTATTATAAGCGACATTGAGAGAATGCGACACATGCAAAGCGACTCCCTCATATTAACGTCAAAAATTTGAATGCGGTGAGTTAAAAGTTACATAATTATTAGCTAATAAAATAATAATACAAATAAACGATGAAATTATCGAAGTTCTATCTTTTTATTTATTTAACTCGATAATAATGTTACCAAATATTAAAGGAGGATAAAACGAAGTATCGAGACTATGTCAACGTTGCGACAAGAAACCATAGTAATAATTTTTACATGAATTACATATTATGTAACATCGCGTCACATGCGAATAAAGCCGTAATCGAGATCATTTTTGTTAATTAAAAAGAAAAGCATGTAAATTTTTGGAAATTCGATTAATAAGAATTTTCTTTCGTAACTTTACGATTGACACATTAAAATACTATTAGTTAGATTATTTTATAAACCTCTTAACCATCAGAATGAAATATCTTTTCTGTTAGAAGTTGTGTATAAAAAAAATTTTTGTTAATTAACAAAATTTATTCGAAAATTATACTGACCGCCGTTAGCGGAAGCAGCCGAAATGGTTCGATTTTTAACGAGCGTTTGCATACTCTCATCTTGACCCTGACACCTAACATTGGTAAAAGGTGTGGAAAATGGTGATAATTTAGCGGTTTCCCATAATGACGACCACATCTTTTCTGTCTCCCTTTGAATGAAACACTTCACCTGAATAAAACACCATACGATTATTCATATATATAGATTATTATATTTAAAAGAAAAGAAAAATTTAATTTATAACATAACGTACAAGATCTTTGCAGGCACAACTCTCAACGCCGCGTAGATGAAAGAGAGTGGTAAGGCCAAGGAGTTTTCTCTACTGACAGAACCGAATGCAGTCATAGATGGCACAATATTCAAATTAATCAATTCGAATGAAAATGCGACATCTAGAGGATTTTATTTGCTAAGTTATCTTTTCTATAATTTTTATATTTTAAATTATAATTTTTAAAAAATATCTTATCAAATGATAAATTAAATATTTTTATTTTCTTATTTATTCTACAAAAGTTAGATATATTCCTATAATAAAAAATTGAAATTTATTTAAGTATTCGCCATTACTTTAATCCAACCAATCGCAGACAATTAAATGCCATCGATTATCTAATATTCATTTTGATTGGTTCTTAGGCATTATTAAATAGAATTTTTCTTTTTTTATATTTACTAATTAAAAGGTATATTTATTATTGTAAATATTATTATATCGCGTTTAAGTTTTTTTTATGAATTTATTAATTGTTACTTGTTATACTTTTTAAACAAATTCCATTTTTTTTTTAATTTTTTTCTTATAACAACACGTTCTTATACAACATGCGTACAACGCATGTACGCGTGAGTGCCACACTAACGCGCTCTAGTGGCAAAATATCTGTCCCGTCATTTTCGAACATTTCTAATACATTGCGATCGCCCTCTTGTTATCTAGGCTCCGTGGTTTGGTAGAGAGGTAGAAGCACATGTACACAAATAACTTTTAAAGTTGTATATTTATTAGAATTAAATTATGGGGAAGTTAAATGTAACGATGTTACGTTATTTAACGCGGGAAGATTTCCGTGTATTGACGGCAGTAAGTATAAACAATATAATAATATATTATTAGATTTATCATAACATCAGATAGTGTGTATGGATAATAATGAAATTTTCAGATTGAAATGGGTATGAAAAATCATGAGCTTGTACCAGCTTCACTTGCTGCGCAAATAGCAAATTTACGTTATGGTGGTGTTCATAAATTGTTGAAGGAATTATGTAAACATCGATTACTCAGTTATGAAAGAGGGAAACATTGTACGTTATTCATCAATATTTACGTTTAATAAGCATTGATACATTTCATATAATTAATTATTATTTTAGATGATGGTTATCGCTTGACAAATGCTGGTTATGATTACTTAGCCTTAAAAGTACTGGTACAAAGAGGTGTTGTTGGTTCTTTTGGAAATCAAATAGGTATTGGAAAAGAGTCTAACATTTACGTAGTGGCAGACGAAGAAGGAAATCCACTTTGTTTGAAATTACATAGATTAGGTAGAACATGTTTCCGAAACATCAAAGGAAAAAGAGATTATCATCAACACAGAAAATCTGCATCGTGGTTATATCTGTCTCGAATATCTGCAACAAGGGAATTTGCCTATATGCAAGCACTCATGGATAGAGGATTTCCAGTACCAAAACCAATTGATTTTAATCGACATTGTGTTGTTATGGAGCTGGTTGAAGGTGGACCTTTGTAAGTTTTTACTTTAAATAGAATTTTAATAATTTGTATTAAAAAAAAAAAAAAAATGTTTACACTGTAGTAACAAATGAAATTTCAATGTATAGGTGTGAAGTTCATGAAGTAAATGATGTGGAAGAATTGTATGACGAATTAATGAATTTAATCATCAAATTTGGCAATCATGGTGTTATCCACGGTGATTTTAATGAATTTAATATTTTGATTACGGATGATGGTAAACCGATTATTATTGATTTTCCACAAATGATTTCTACCGAGCATGAAAATGCAGAACATTATTTTGAACGTGATGTCAATTGTATTCGTGATTTCTTTAGAAGAAGGTTTGGATATGAAAGTGAACTTTATCCAACATTTAAAGATATTCTGTAAGTTTAATTTATTTTTATTGTAAATATATATTTTTTTACTATACAGTTTAATTATATTTGATATATTGACATATTTTTAGACGAGAAGATTGTATTGACATAGAAATTAAAGCTAGTGGTATAACAAAACAAATGGAAAAAGATGTTTTAATGGAAATGGGTTTTGAAACGAATGAAGATGAAGAAACTTCTAAGATTGATAATGATGATGATGATGATGATGATGATGATGGTAATAATGATGATAATGATGATAATAATGATGATGATGATGATGTTGTCGATGTTAGTGCTGGTGATATTGCTAATGATAATAGTAAAGAATCCAATTTCGAACATGATATAAATGAATTAAGATTACGAGTGGAACAATCGATGAAAGAAGTTGATTCTTCAGAAGAAAATGTTAATGAAGATGCAAGGACTACTAGAAGTGCTGTTAGTACTATTATATCACCAGATGATATAAAAAAGAGAACAAAACGATCTTTAGAAAAACGAGAAAAAAAGAGTCAATCTAGAAAGATTCTAGTAAAAGGTGAAGCTAGTGCAGTAACTAGAGTTAGAAGGGAAAATAGAGATGTTATCAAACAATCAACTGAAGGTATATGGGGCTATGATTAATGTAAGATTATTTTTCTTTTTTTTTTTTGAATAATTATAACAATAACAAAATTAATGTCTTTTTACTGTACAAAAGTAAATAAGTAATAAATTAGATTTGTATAATTTACTTATTTCATTGTACATATCACACTTTTAACTTATATTTTATATGTAATGTAATTGTAACGTGATTGAATTGAAATTGTAACTAAAATATTCTTAAATGAATTATTTTTTTTAGTTTTACTTTTTTTATTTTATTCAAATATAAAATTCTATATACATATATTTTCGATCTTGTAAGACATATTATCTACGGTAGAAAATATATTTTGCTTTCTTACAACAGATGGCGTCACGTTTCTTCATTCAAAATTTCGGTAAAATATAATAATTAGTTTTTTTTTTTTTTTTTTTTTTTTATTAAAAGAACATTATTATTAAATATTTTTTAGCCTCGATTTTAATTTCAAGAGAACTTGATTACTACTAACTTTTAAATGTTCATGTGATTTCATTTTTAATTAAAGTTTATATTTGTAATTTTTATTAATAAATGATTACACAAATGCTACTATCAGGAAAGGTGTATATATGTAAAGAAGGTTTTATAATAATAACTGAAAGAAATAATAAAATTTTTTGATGGAAGAAATTTAAAAGTCGTTTTAAATGTAATTGCAAAAAATTTAATTATGTACTATGAACGACTGTAAGTTTTTAGAAACCACTTAGAAATAGTACTATTGTGTGTTGACATATACTTATTTTTTAAATTTAACGAAGCATAATATGTATGAGTACATTAGCTACAAGATACTTTACACGATAAGGTTTCACAGCAATGCTTTGAATTATACTTCTAAAAGAAAAAAGAAAACATTGTTTTTATTTTGGGAAAAACAACAAAATTTCATTTTGAAATAATACATAATAAATTAGTGCAAATTATTCTTATCTTCAAATAAATACTAATAAGTCAATTCATTAATAATGAATTTTGATGAAACTTGTTTCTTCTGAAAAATAAAATATTAATACCGATTGATACTTTTTAACCATTTTATAAGGCCCCGAAGTTTCCATATGTTATTTAACGGGATGTAAAATCGTGTTAAGCACTTTGCATCAATCTTGTTTTCTTCAATGTCGCTGATATATGCAATACCGCTTGTTTATTCGTTAAATTATTGGATTTATAAGAATTACTGAAATTCTATGGAATCATCGAATTTATTAAATCGATAATAAAACAAAACTGAGCCATGACAATATGATTGATAAAGGACAACAATGGAGATGATTGTTGAAAACATCATTCAAAATGAAAATAATAAAAATGAAATGTGTCTATGTTGTATATAATATAGTATGGTAATCTAGAAATTATTGTTCAAAATGCATATATATATCGTATAAAGCTGAGATCTACAGAAATTTTGCAAAAAAACTAAAGTACTCTACTTTGCTTCTATTTTTTTACTCTATTTGTATATATATATATATATTACATACATATATAATATATATATATATATATAACCATCTAATGTGCATATTTTCTGAAATATTAGAGTAGCAGTAATAATTTTGAAATTCACAGGTAGTAGAATACATTTAGTTTACAAAGAACATGTTTTGCAGAGATTATAATTATTAATATAGTTATATGTTATGGGTATATCTAATTTATAATTATCTATGGCAAGGGTTGGCCCGTTATGAGACATGTACGATATTATTTTATAATCATTTTCATGAAGTATGCAAAACCTTACAAGGAAATAAAAAAGAAAAATTTAATATTTCTAAATAGAATTGAAAAGTAATATATTTTAAAACATATTCAAAACTATGCGTGCATGTTGGACTTTATTGTTGTACTATATAATTTATATATGTTGTATTAATATTATATAATAATTATATAAGCTATATAAGAAATCATCAACTAAATGATATTTTGTTAGCAGAAAATAGGTATTGTTTCTTATCTACTAAGATTAAACATACTTCAGAATAAATAGTAAATATATATACACACATAAAATGTGCACATATTGCAATTGTATTATTAATAAAAATTCAAGAGTTGATTAATGCTATCATTTTATACACAATGAAAAAACTGTAGAAATACAAAATTTATCTTTTCATACACTGACAGCAATGATGATACATTATTTGACAATTTTCATTTTTCTATCAGTTTGCTGTCAATACGTGCAATATATAAACATAGTATCGCGAAGAGTACATGTCACAATTAACAGCATGAGAATATTATTATAAATTGTTTGATCAGATTTTCTATCATAGATTATATGTTATCTAACACAAAAAGACTATAACAGTGGTTATGTGTATACTATCTTTTTAAAAGTAGTGATGATAGCAGTAAAAATAGTAATACTGATAAATCATATGGCGTGGGGTAAGCAAATTTTATCCCGCCTAAATGTGTGGTATATATGTTCTTGCCTACCTAAGACGTATACTAAGATTTATGATTTCAAATCTCTATAATTTTATATTAATTTATAATACCAAACATTTTCATATGTACGTTCATTAACTATAACCGAATAAACAAGATTTTCTGCTGTTGTCGATACCGTTAGCAGAAAATGTTTTTATCTTAATATAATTATTATTTTTTTGTTGATGATTTTTGATTATTTAACGGACAATGACTTTTTTTTTTTACAGTCATATTTTTTATAGTGGCTTATATTTTACTAAAATGCTTTATTAAAGTTCTAGTTTAGTAGTAACACTAAAATAACTGTTTCTTATTAATCCTGTAAATAGATGTGTCAAAAAAATGTTGTTATTTTTTTTTATATTTTATTTTATCATGAGTGTGCAATTATCAGAAATTCACTTTGTATACGTCATTTTGCCACTACTTGGCAAACATCATCATCATCATCATCATCATAGGAATAATTTAATACATTAGTTTCTCTGCACTATGAACATGCAGTAAGAGAAACTTTTCATGATGTCTATTTATTTATTAGATTTGAAGCAACTGATCACACTTAGAAACTATACGCTCTCGTATTATTGGAGGTTTATTTTGATACATTATTTTATAGATTAACTAAAAATGCAAGAAGATACGTGTTGATAGAAAAATTGTAAGGAACCAAAAGTTTCTTACATATTTAATAAATATTATGTGACACAAAAAGCAATAAAAATGAGGGTATGCAAAAATATAAAATATCAAAGGTCATTGACAGAATATTGTTGGAATAAATGGGCTACAGCCGAGTTTACAATAGCCAGCTCACTTACTTGATTGAAACTTATTTAACAAAAGAACAAAAAAGTAACAATAATCATAAAAAAATCATGCGCTTTTGTCAAGTATATGTAATATACCTTAATATAAGTAATATATATGTTAATGTAACATAAAATGTTAATATATAAATTAACATATAAATGTTGCTCTCGTAGGAACCTATAATTGTTAATTAACATTTTCAAAAATGCATGTTTAACTCGTTCCCATAAGACATGTTATTATATATTTATTAGCTGCAAGAATCAAAAAATTTTGTCATTTGCTAGATTATGTTTATATGTGACATACTATGATAAATCTTTTTTTTTTTTTTTTCTTACAAGTCTTTTCTAATCATCAATCATCACTTTATACCTGCAATATAATATTTTTCACTAACTGTACAACCATATATATCCAAATAATGGATACAAGTATTTTTTCCATGGCCATTGTACGCTCGATCAAAAAAATATCATAATCTGTATCCATATACTACGTATTGGATTTCAACAACTTCACATATTTGTTTATAAGTACATACATAATAATCGAGCATAAACTTATTTTGTACTACACATTTGTTCATTTTTTTATAACATGTCATAAGATGTAAACAAAAATATACCATTTCAAATATTAAAAAAAATATAATATCAGTTAGAGAGAGAGAGAGAGAGAGAGAGTGAGAGAGATGTCACCGAGATATTTGTTAAAATCCAATACTATCAATACGTATCACGCGTATCACTACATAAGCGAGATGGGAAAAATCTAAGTCGAAGGCTTAATTAGAAATCAGATGCCTCCAAGGGGGTGGGTCAGGTGGTGGAGGCAGAGGGACTGGTTACGGACGGCAATGACCTCGTTTTCTACCGCCTTCGTTGCCTTCCTCATCTTCGCCTCCTCTTCGTACTTCAGTATAACGTTCACCTTTTACACTTACGATTTTATTGTCCAGATAGCGCACTAATTTCTTTGGTTCTGTTTTAGGCGCAACCGGACGATGTTCCCGAGAATCATCATCCCTGTCGACGTAACTATACCGAGCGATGATACGTGACTTCAATTCTTCGTCATTTACCCTGGCTTTATTCCGACCATTGGGCTAGTATACATAAATTTATCCTTCTTTATTTTTCATGTAAACATATTAAGTATTATGTATTTGCTGTTAAATTACTTCAAATATTCAAAATACGTATATATATATATATATGAATTTATGTAGGATAAACACATACCGTTAAAAATGTCAGATTGCTGACAATACTTTGACCAGCTTCTTGACGATGCAAAGCTAATTGAGCTGCTCTGGCTATATCACCTCCAGCAACTGCTAAACAATGTCGAGCTTCAGCTGGGCTAGCTGCTGGAAACATTTCTTGTAGGAGTGCAACTTGATTCCAAGATGATTCCTGAAAAGGTAAGAAAGTTAATTAGATTATAGTTATAGATTAGAAGGAGGAGATGCGTCTGGATTGTATGTACCTCAGAAAAGTATTCTCCACTGGAATCGCTGCCCGCATCACTAGTTTCTGAGAGATGATGTACTCGCATTCTTTGAGTACCAGGCGGTAAAAGAGCTGCCAAACTAATATGACTCAATGGATCATGAGGTTGGCAACTTTCATTTTCTTTACTTCCCTGACGTAATTTACTTTCAACGTCATGTAACCATGTTGATACAGCTTCTTTTTCGATAGTTGAAAATTCCGGAAGACAAGCAGAAACCATTTCGCATAAACCATCCACATCTAATTCTTCTTCCATAGCATTTTCTTCTACCATGCTTACCACATAACTGAGTACAATGTCGTCGATTAAACTAAGAAATACAATATTCAATGTAAGGATACATATTTTAGAAGCAATAAGTAATGGATTTATTTATGAAGTATTATTATTATACTATGATAAAGTTACCTTAACTGTGCAGTAGGTATTTGTTTTCTTACAAAGCTAAATAAAGCTTTTTTAACTAACTCTTCTTTTTCATCCATTATGCGGCTCATTCTGTATACATAAAGAGATTATAACATTTAACAGCATACATTGATTTTTGATCATTGACTAAACAAAAGAATCATTACCTCAATATAATTACACGTTGGATGTTAAAATCTCAAATAAAAAAAGGAAGCAGAGGCTATTTTCCTAATTCCAATGAAATAGTTGATCAAACTATTTTTGTCAAATAATATTTGATTTAAAGAAAGAATGAATTATTTATGTCGTGGATACAATGTTTCTTTTTAAAGAAATGATGAAGATGATATAATGAACGATAAATTTATATTTAAACAAAATATTAAAAGTACAGAAAGTAGGTCGTGGTAAAAAGGAAGAGACGAAAAAGAAGCAAAAAGTATTTGGATTACGTATAACATCGTAAAAGAAAATTAATATTATCAGTAATGACACAAATTGCACTTTTCAAATGTATACAAGTGAAGAAAAGAGGCCATCGTGTTATACTACTTTTCACTAATCATAGTGACTTTTATAAAATATATATGACATGCATGTATACCTACGGATATATACATACGTGACGTATATCTTCGAATATTATCATCATCAGTCATTGATCTGATGTTAGGTTAAGAAAAACAAAAATTCATGACAGCGTTCAAAATAAATTAAGTTCACGCTATTTGCATAGAATCCTTTTTTGTTGATATATATATGTATCTATATATATGTATACATATATATATATATACATACATACATATATATGTACATATATATATATAACACATAGGAGAAAAATTTATAAATAAAGTAATTAAGAAGAAGAAGAAATGTTTGGAACGTGCACAATAATAATAGCGATTAGAAGTGACAATTATTAAAGAGGAAAATAAGAAAATAGACAACGAAGCGACAGGTCCATAGTTAAAGCGCCGGTGTCACATCACGGTCGAAGCTTTTTGACTTTGGTGAAGGTGTGTAAAAAGCTTCTAGTTCGACGTCGAGGTCCTTTCATCCCTCTTATAAAGGATGCCCGAATCGAGTACGAACCTGCTTTATGTTTGTCTCGTTCGTTTGACCTGTCGTATTCTTCGAGACGCGATGTGAACCCCAAAGGCTCGATAAAAATTTCGTATACAAACAAGATTCCTTAGATTTGACAGTTCGACGTTAGAAGGGATAGAGGGAGGTATAGTGGCGTTCCACAATAGTCGACAGGCTGCGTACTAGGACTTAAAGAAAAGCGGGTGTAACTTAGTACTCGTTTAATTTCGTTTTACTTCTCTCTATCCCTTTTCTTTCTCCCTTTTTGTTTCTCTGCTTGGTTTTCTCCGTTGGGTTATGAATAGAGAGAAAAGCGACCTCACCGTTGTTGAGAAATATTAATTATTTCTACGATATAAGTTGTTACGGCTTATTCGGATCAGTCATACGCCATCTTGTAGTGTATTTTGTATATGGCGTAAGGTTAGGTCGGTAATGTCATTTTTGTTTTGTAGGTAATGTAAGTATTCTTTTAGATCGATATTTATAAATTTAATCGTTAAATCTACGACATTTGAATTATACTTTTAGTGTTGTCGAGCTTATTGAAGTGAAAATTTCTTTAGAATGGGTGTGATTTAAAAAAATAAAATGCGGTGATGTAGTGGGGAAAGAAATGGCCTTAATACTACGTAAGAAGAGAAAAAGAGACAAACATATCATTATTTATACAAATTTTTGATTTGCAAACATTTTTTAAAGTGTTTTATTATTTACTTTCTTTGTAATTATTATACAAATGCGCGCCTGTATGAATGCAACCCTCCAGACACACTTTGAAAAGTTACTTGCGAACGCCATCTGTTGGAACGGAATTTTTTTCTGCCCGAAAGATAGGTAACCCGTCATACATACGTGTATAAACAGTTTTGACTGCAAAAAAATTCCGTTCCAGTAGGTAGCGCTCTCAAGCAACATATTCAAAGTGTGTCTGGAGGGTTGCATATGAATAGGCGCGAATTTTTATATATAATTAAATTAATAATTAAAAAAATAATTACAAATTAAAAGTACAAATAATATTATAATAATATAATATAATAAATTATCCTCGAAACAGCTAATTTTAACAACGTTTAACGACGAAACAATTTTATTGTACTATTGAAATAGATAAATTCTGTATTTAATCTGAATATTTTTAAAAGGAAGATAATAATATATAAATTATGTATTTTGCCATACGTTGTAATAGCTGTTTATTTATAAGACATAATATTTCACATATTACAATATACATATATTTTCCAATTGTAGAATCAACATCGTGCGATCGATTGAATATTTACCCAATACTGTTCTTTAACACGTATACTGTAATATTTTGAATAATAAATCAATCTTCTTTGTTTATTTATTAGAATCTTTACAATAAGACGAAATGCACGATTTTCGAAATGTTAAATAAACGAGTACAACAATCTAGATTCTAAAATTTAAATGAAGATATTATATAAAATCTTGTAGACATGCTATCAATCTAAATACTTTTACTTACAGATAATCGAATGCATCCTTAATTTATTTCTAATTTGTATAAATGCATCGATATTTTCAAATAGAATTTTAACACCGAAAGAAGATACATAAATTTTTTCACAAATTCGTATAATATTTAAATGCATTTCCATCGAATGCTGATTATGACGTGTTTTTTTTTTATCGATATGCACATCAAATAAAAAACAAATAACTTATCTTCCAAAATAAATAATTATATTATACATTGTTTTTATAGCTATATTTTCAGTTAAATACGAAAAATACAATATTTTTCGCTAATTTTAATCCTTATCGGTCAAAGGGTTGATTGATATAAAAGAACTTATCATCTCATATAGGATTTTTATTTTTAGTAATATTTTAATATGATCATTCCGAGTAAAAATTTGTATCTAAACTTATTTTTGAATTATTATTAGTACACTGATTTTAATTCAAATAAAGCATACAAGATATTTATTAAAAAGTATTCTCTTTAAAATTAAATAAAAAGAAACAAATAAATTAAAAATAATAAATATAAAAAAAAAATAAAAATAAAAATATACGTATATATATATATATATATATATATATATATATAATTATAATATTATAATTAATATTTATTATTAATTATTAAAATCTCAAATATTTTCAAATAAAGTAATTAATTTCTAAACGTAAAATCTCGGAAAAAAAAATATTTTATAAAACTTCGAAAGATTTTAAGCATTTTAAGAATTATTATAAATTGGAATCTCCAAAATTTGTATAAATTTCACCATGTAATCAGTAGGTTTTTACCTGTTCAGTCTTGTCACCTTTCACGTGAGATACGACTGTTAGAATTAAAACATCACGTCAAAGATAATAATATAACCGATAAGGGTTAAAATCCAAAATCAACGGTAACAGGATAATGTTTCAGTTCGTGCGGAAGCTTTGATTTTTTATTTATGTTTAAAGATATTTTTTGTATCTTATCACGCTCGATTCTTTGGCGTATCATTTAAAGCCGTCTTCTCAAACTGGTTTCGTTACCAATAGCTTCGATTTATCATTAATTAACGAGACAATGATTTAATATGTAACTTGGAAGTAATTATCATATTCTTCTAGTTCCTTAAAATATTTCAATTACGCTTAGATCACACAACAACGCATAAATGTGAATTAAAATGAAGTAAAAAAGGAGAATTGACTTTTACTATTAGAACCATAAGTAAAGGACAACAATGTAGAAGAATGTTGCACTCATCTTGTTTTGATCAAATTTTGTCTCATACTTTTCGACCTGCTCACCAGTAATCAAAAATATTACTATGTAAAAATAAAACAAAAAAATAAAAACAAAGAAACATATTTTTCGATATCATCTTCTTTGTATGGAAAAATTGAATTGTTTATACGAATTTGTATCTTAAAAACTCAATTTGAAAAGTGAATAATATTATGATTGACTTACTGTAAACTTCATAACAATATTAACGACAATGTTCGCAGATAATCATCATTCATTGTTCGAACGTATTTGTTTTGTCGTTTTGGTTTGAATTACCATTTAGTTGCATTTTAACAATTGCAAGTAAAATCGTTTTACTCTGTTTTGTTGTCCTCCTTCGAGCATGGTTCTTCATCTTCTTCTCCATCTCGCTCATCATCACCTTCTCCAATATCAATAGAGCTGTGATCAGTCAAATCATCTTTACCATCTTTATTACAACCTGGTTCCAATTCTTCAACGATATCTTGTTCTTGTTCTAGAAAGTCTGTAGGTACGAATTCCATCTGATCTTCGCAATCATTCAAATCCGGTGGGCCAGGTATTTCACAAAAATTAATTTCTCTGGTCTCATCATTGAGATCATCACCACCTGGATCATCTTCTTCGTGAAAACTGATAAGCTTTTCAAATTTCACAGGATTTGAGTTATCTTCATTACTTTCGGGAAATATTTCGGTGGGACTTAGAGGTATATCCAAGGGTTCAGTTTTGACTGTTGTGGGAGGAGATGCTGGTGTAATTGGTCTTTGTAAGCGAATTTTTGTGAAAGGTCGTGGCTCAGGAGGTTCCGTTTGTTGTCTTTTTTGCGCGCGTTTAGGACTAGAAAGGGTAGGAACGCCAGAAGTAGAAGGCTTATCTTTGGTTTCGTTTACGATATGTGGCACTACTGGTTGAGATATTAACGTTTTTGATTGAGGTATAAGCATCGGTGGTTTCGAGTTCTGCAAACGAATAATATATTCAAAGTTTAAATTACTTAGCTTCAAAATACGGTTTCTATATTCATACTCCAATATTATCGAGTAAATATTTATTACCTGTGAGGAAGGACTCGGACCAGCTAATCCTTTAACCTGTAATGCCTCAGCTGCATTTAATAATTGAGGTAATTTGTCATGAGCAACATTGACTTCACCGCGATACATGAACTTAACTAATGCTTCAACTTCCCAAAATTTCAGATCTTTCATTAAGATTATGGGATGCTGACAAGGATTTTCTCGCAACAAATCTGCCAGATAATCGCTACACGAAGATAAAATCATCTTATGACATTTCAGAGATCGTCCTTCGCAAGCTAGGGTTACATCAACAAACTGTTCCGAATCCAGAAGGGATGGAAAACTATTCTGCATGTTACTATGGTAACTATTCCACCTTAGACACACCTGAAATTAATACGATTCATTTGAATTTGTTCGATCAAAGTAAAGTATGTATAACTTTGTTTCAAATACCTCCGTAGGTTGTTGATGTACGATATTTTGTGGCACGCCTTGTGAAGCCTGTCTCGGTGGCATCTTAATCGTCGTTGGTGCAACCTGCTTCACTTTTAATGGTATCGTTTTTAATACAAGAGTCTTTGGCTGTCGTTGCTGCTGTTGTTGCTGAGGAGAGGGTGCTGGCGCAATATTTCTTATATGTGGCCTCATGAATGACTGTGCTATTCTAATGGTTTTAGTGGTAGTTGCATTAGATTGTGAGACAGGCGTATTGGACTGTAAAACTATAATAAAATAAAACTAGGAATTAGAATATATATATATATATATATATATATATATATAT